TCCGCGAAAACAAATCCGGGTCACAAACCAAAACCGAGGGAAACATATCAACTATGAGGGGACAACAACGGAACAACAGAACACAGAACTGCAACAAAAACAAACGCAAGCATACAGAGAAACCCACTATTTGATAACAACTACAATATTCCGGACCTGGTACAGGATATTTAAAAAAAAAGTTGTGGGCTAGACCTGGTTTTATGGCTAGCCAAACCTCCCACTTATAGGCAATGTAAGCATGACCGCTAAAATGACAACATTACAATTAAACGCAAGAACACTAAGGGCAGAGAAATACCTAAATAAATGATATAGTAGTACATTACAACATATAAACCACAGAATAACAACAGACACATCCCATGAATTTACCGCAGTACACCATGATACCACAAATGCACTATACACTGTGCGACACATGAATGTATCAACGCCACAAAAAGTGAAGTATTTTTTGTTTTACTGTATTATCACAGGCACATTTCGAAAAATTTAATAGTTTAGTTTTATTGTAGACACGTACAAGATTGGGATTGAGTTTGGAATGGTGTTATTTTAAGTATTTTTTAACCATGAAAAGAATATGGGATTGTGTTAGTAATGATGTAGTTATTTGTATTTTCTAGCCATGTCGATTTTTCTTCAAAAACAATACTTTGAACAAATAAAAAAAAAAATCTGTGCATATAAATGCTTTAAACTAGAAATCATATAAATGAAATAGATGATTATTTATATTTACTTTAAGGTAGATTCATGGTAAACCGCCATCTTGGATTGTACAATAGCAGTTAAAAATCGGTCTAGTTATTATCCGAAATCTGCAAATTTTGAGACAGATTTGCAAGTTATGTGTCAGACTGTTTATTCGTGTAAAGAAAAATAAATGATTTATTGCATTATTCATTACGTTTAAACACATACCAAATAAAATCAACTTAGTCATTTAAGGGGATATAATTCTTTTAATAAAATATTTATACTGGAATGATAGGGAAATTTTCAATTTTTCTTGCGAGAAAACTAGTTCGGTGACACTATTTGTTTCTCTTAATTTTCTTAAAGCATATCATAAAACGTATCTTTTCATATTTTATTTTAAAATTCTATCTCATAGATTTCTATTAATGCCCAAAATTTGGTTTTGTCATGAATAGTCTATGCAAATTTTGTCAATGTTGTACGACTTGTGAAATATCACGGTAAACCATACTTTTTATTTTATTTAAAAAAAAACATATTTAAATCTTCATTTTGGCAAAATATAACAAAATGTTATCTGAGGAAATATACACCGATGATCTACCATAACATACATATCGAAAATAAAATAAAAATGACTTTAATATAAAATAAGATCATGCATGTAAGACCAAACAGTAAACACACTAAATAAAGACAATGTAAAACAAAAAAACTGCAGACGGACCACGAGTAACTCTACTTTGCTGACAAACAAGACAAATATGAATTGTACCGAAATTACAGAATTCAAACAACAAATGATAAGACATAATTCAATGTCCAACCAGTAAAACACTCGATGTCTTGATTGGAAAAAAATATACTGAATCCACACTTCTGCTGAACATGTTAAAATGAATTTAGAGAGCAGAAAATACCATAATGTATTCCAACATGTATCAATATTTATCTCTTTTCTGTATCTTGAAATTAGATATTCTTTGATATTTTGTTGAAAAAGAAACACTGTTAACCAACACCAATATTTAAATATACAGTTATTTTGCAAATCGAATGATGAGACGTTATTTAATCGAGCAAACTATGCGATCAGGCAGACCGTAATAAGATATACCAAACATACAATAAGTAAAAGGCAAAATATTGTGAAATCGTCACCTATAGCGTACAGTTGGGATCAGTTCCAACCCATTTCAAAACATATATCGAACTGTACAGATTCTTATGCTTTATTTCGGGAGAAAGTAGGTGGTAAATTCAAATTATCTGATAACTTTTACATAGATGTGAAATCGTATGAGTAAAATTTGACTATCACAGTCCTAAGCCTTATTAGACCCAAGTATTTTTGTTGTTTATATTAATAAACAACATATATACATATGTTTTTAAATATGCTTCATCAAAGTAATTTTGACCTTTAATAATTATTATCTTATCCCAACATTACGTAGTGAACTACTTTTAACTGTACACCGTGTAAGTTTAAGTGAGTATATTGTATGAAAAGCCTATAATGACATTGTACTGATAAAGCATTGTAATACCGTAGCTTAACTTCAAGAATGTTCAACGTTGCAATGTTTAGTTTTAAGTCAACAAATTATATGGTAAGCCTAACGGTACATTTTAGTTTTATATCAGCGTGCTATATTAGCTTAACATCATGTACTTTCGTCTGTACATCATGTTGTTTTAAATCAACTTATTGTATGATAAACCTGTTGTTTTATCACAATCCTAACATCGTTCTATCTCAACATAACATTTATGTATGATAAGTCAGCACCACACATTTTAGCTATCCATTTTATTTGTTATCATTGCATTCGAAGTGAATGACTGAGCATTATCCATCTGCAAGCTTATACGGTATCATACAACGCCAACTTCACGTCATGTAGTTTAAACTCAACGTAACATGTTATTTGCATGGCTTCACAACATAGTAACTTATTACTATAGTACTATAACTAAAGCCATTGTCATTGGAAGTCAACATAACGCAAATTCAACTTAGCATGTGGCAATTTCGAGTTAGCATTTTGATAACTTAATTCCTCATCCCGCTGTCTTAACTTTTACATTTTAAGGTTCAATAAAACGTTTGGTAATATATGACAACTGAGGCTTTCTAAACCGTCTGTATATTAAAGACTTGTTATAATATGTCCTTAAGTGACGAATGGGGAATAATTTTGAAACGTTGGCGAGGATATATTTGATAATGTTAACCGAGCTCTTATAATGGTAGAAAATATTTGTAATTTGTTAAATGTGTGGTGTCTGAGCTAGAACATTTAACCGAATTAATAATATATGTTGTACATTGCTTGAGTAGCTTCAACCGCACTTTTCGATTATTTTGATTAACTACACGTATTTACTGACCTAAACGAATGCTATTTACATACAAATAGATATAAGAAGATATGGTATGAGTGCCAATGAGACAAATCTCCATCCAAGTCACAATTTGTAAAAGTGAACCATTATAAGTCAAAGAACGGCCTTCAAAACGGAGCCTTGGATCACACCGAACAACAAGCTATAAAGGGCCCATACAAAACACATGTGTTTCTTTTTCATACAAATATGTTTTGGCCGTCAGTAAACAGTTTTTAGACTTAGGCGTATGAAAAGTTTGACTAACATTTTCGAAGAGATGTATTGTTTGACATTGTTGAGGATACCCAGTAATACAAATCTATTTGCATCATTCATGAATGATTACATGTAATGTTTGTCTTGAATTCTGTTTTTAAAAGGTTTGCATCATTTCAACAGTTGCACAAAATGTCTTTTAGTTTTTTGCTTTTATGGTGATACGTCAAAAATGAAAAAAAAATGATATTCTGTATATGATGTTTCAACTTTATGTCATCAAAGCAAATTTAACTTTTTTCAATTCACTTTTTATTGTTCCCTACAATAACTCATGCGGTGGACATAAAAATAACGGGCTGCCGTTCGTGTATCTGGTCTTGTTAGCGCTATTACGCGAAATATTCTTCCAAGATTTTTTTTATGAAAATCATATTTGTATAAGTAATGTCTCTGACAGATAAGACATGTTAGAAAGTCTGCGCCAACCAAATATTGTCTAGGAACTATCCCACTTGAAAATATAGTTATATCGAGAATTTTATCGTCAGTGCTCTCAAGTTTACATCAATTATAGGACTATGATGAAACTTATATTTAAGATTTAATTAAGTGATGTCTGGGACGACTTCTAACAACAACACTAATTACACATGTGTACAGGAATTGTTTCTTAGAAATATAAATTGTTAATAAAATTGCATTGTAAGTGCTCTTAATTGTACTTTTTAGAAAGCCTATTGTGTGGCTTCATTGGTACATTGTACACCTAAGGTGACACAACTAGCCTGATTTGCAGAATTGATTGTTTGTCATTTTTAACTCTCAACTTTAAGAATTTTACAACAAAACAAAAACAAGTTTGAAAAATTCCGTGTAAATTAGTTTTAAATAACCATGTAAACATTTGGCTTCTTCAAAATAATAGCTTTTTTTAGAACTTCCTAAATAAAACATAATGCTGTTATGAATTAGGTATAAATCTGTCGAATATAAATACGTTATATCATTATTAATGGTTACAGCCAAAACATTCATGGAAATAAAATTATATACATTTTTCTAGAAAAAAAATATGAGAGCAAAACAATTCACTAGTAATTGTAATAATTTTTGATTCTCTTTCAAAGGATATTGAAAGGCACTCAATTAAAGTCAACATCACGATGGAAGTACCAACAACATACATTTATAACGTGAATTTGTCAAATATTAAGTATTAAAAGTTGGATATTCTAAGCGTTAATTAGTGTTACGGTAAATATTGTATGCATATGTCGCGTTGACAGACATGTGTTAGTCTGTAGGTGAATAATTTTCCTTTATGAGGTGAGTTTGAACATGGTTTTACTCTAAAGACTGTTTTATCTAATGTTAGTTTTCAATGAAGGGTTGATAATATGTATAGAAAATTAAAGCAAGAGATAAACAAAAGATGGTGCATGAACTATTCAAACCCCATTAGGATTTGTAGAATTTTAATTTTTTATACTTTGCAAATAAATCTTGTATCTTCGTTTAACGTTGTGGTAAATGAAAACAGAGATGTCTATATACATCACTAAAAAAAGTCATATTACACATTTTACAATTGATAGAAATTATGTCTTTTTCTATAAACGTGATTTTACCATTTTCATTCGATGTTTCCCTTACTATTGACTTCATCAGAATAAACGTTTACATACCGAACGATGTCATAAAATGTATTGTATCTTGGAAAATAAATGAATCTGTTTTTGTAATCATAGTCTATGGCAAACACATGACTACTTCCAAGCTCTAACAGGATAGTTACATTGCGTGTATCAACATCGAATTCCTTAATTAAAGAGTATGTTGAGTACAAAAGTTTTCCCGAATAAGCTGAAAAAAAAAAAAAAAATACTATTAGTATCCTAATAATTTCATTAAAAAAAAACTATACTTCAATACATTAAATAGGATAAAAGCATGACAATAGCTTACAGTTTCACGTAACTCGCTATCTATTTATTAAGTTTAAATGGTTAAACTGAATAAAGATGTAAACAAGACGACAGACTAATATGCATACATGTAAATAATTTACAAATTATTTTAATGAACGCCACGCACAAAGATAAAATGTTATGTAATACCTACTGCTAACCTTTCATTTAGAAATAAAACGCATAAATAATGGACAATACAACATTTTTGAAAATAGTCATGTTAGCATATAGTGTCTTTTTTGTATATATTTTTCAGGCAGTACACGATTGCATATAAAAAAGAAAAAAAAGACAGACAGTTAAAGTTTAGATTTAGAAACAAGTAAAAAATTTACGCGTATATATTTTATTTCTTCTGTAGTGCACATCTGTGATATTTGCTATATGTACAAGGGTAAGGTTTCTTTGATGTCAAATTGGGTCAATTTACCTTGCTGGTAGAATGAATGCCAACCAAATCAAAATACGTTGGAATATATGGAGAACTACTAGCAACATAGCGATACATAATAAAAAAACAAGTATGGCACTTTTTACAGATAACACGCTATTGACTTCAATCTAGTAAACTTGAAACACACTTTTGGACCGATACATACAACATGTTACTGATATTAAGAATAAAATAAGCTAAGTATGTTGAATAAGAAGAGGACATGTTGGTGCTCTTAGTTAAAGCCGACACTGTGTTGTAGTATTAGTATTGTTGCAATCTTCATCATACAATCCTCCCCGTTTTACTCAATTTAATGATTTATGATATTGAGATATAGCTACCATTAACAAGGACAAATATGGCAAGCGTTAATTGCTGTGGGCATTCAATTTTGTTGCACAAACTAACGTGTGATACAAGAATGGAATCAAGACTACTAATTTTTATCGACAATTCAATCTTATGAATATACAGGAGAGCTGTTGTCACTTTGAAAATAAACAGACCAGAATTGTTAGCATGTGAACACTAATATTGCTGGTTTTTTACTTATTAATCGATGCTACAATAACCAAATATATACAATGTACGTTAACTGATTTTTTTTAGGGGCTACATGGATATCGATATACTTTTCGATTTTTAAATGGCAAATTAGACAATATATGTTTCTAATCATGTTCTGGATATCAATTGTTTTATGTATATTGAGAAATATTTGTTATAATTCAACTTAGTTTGGAGCAGACTATTCAAAAGTAAAATCACAAAAATACTGAACTCCGAGGAAAATCAAAAAAGGAATGTCCCCACTCAAAAGGCAAAATCAAAAGTTCAAACACATCAAACGAATGGATAACAACTGTCATATTCCTGACTTGGTACAGGTCAAGAGTTAGCAGTAAAACAGGTCTGATGCAATCAAGAGTTATCCAGAACGAAGTTACTTTTTACATGACTGATTTCAAAGTTAACTTCCGTTGCCAGTCAACGGTGAGGTTGCCAGTTCGAATCCCATACCGGTCAGGTGCACTCGACTCCAATCTTAATTGACTAGGATTGTCAGTTTTCCTACCTCAGGTCGGTGGTTCTCCCCTTGCACTCCGGCTTCCTCCGCCAATAGAAATTGACAGCCACGAAAAAGCACAATTGTGTAGAAAATATCGTTAAACACCAATCAATCAATCAATCAATCAATTGCCAAAAAGGTACATTTGTTCATTAAACAATCTCAATTATTATATAATTTTAATGAAATGGCCACCACCCTTGGTGAATTGGTGCAACAGATTTTCATCTTGATAACATAAAATAAGCTCATCATAAATACCAGGATTAAAAGGTTGTACACCAGACGTACGTTTAGTCAACAACACACTCACCAGTAAAGCTCGAACCCCAAAAAGTTAAGGCAAAATAAAGTGCGAGGTTTGAGAGCATAGAACACCAAAAATCCCAAAAGATTTTGTCAAATAAAGCTAAGGCGATCTATTCCTGGGGTTAACAATCCATAGTATTTTGAGAAAAAAAAATATTTGTAAACAGTTTATTTATAATTATGACCATATTAATGATAATTCATGTCAACACTGAAGTACAGACTACTGGACTGGTGATACTGTCTCCAGTGGTATTGACCCAGAGGTTGTAAATAAAAACCCACGGATTTATTAATAAAAGACTGCCTAATAGGCTCGAGACAACTACTTTGTACCTAATGTTAACGGTTCTTATTTTTTTTTTTTATTGTATTAAGGTGTATGTACAACATTGTGAGGGTCGCCAGTTTTGTGGATGAAGAACACAATCGCGTGGTGAAGTGATTATAAAATACGAAACTTTTCTTTGACACAAATTGAATTAAGGTGGTACCAAACACCTTGACTTAAATTAATTTGACTCGTTTAATTTTCATAAAATTTTGACAAAATATTTACTCTGACAAACATTTATAAATTTCGGAAAACTTGAACCACACACTTTCTCAGAAAAATTTCATTGGATATATAGCAGTGTGACAAACACTAATTTTGATCATTGAGAAGCTTAATATTTCCTTAACAATACAATGTCATTTAATCGTTTAGCTGATTTTACAGGGTTATCTCCCTGTAATGTTAGGTACCATCTTAACTTTTGTTTGATAATTATACAAATATAATACTTTTGTGTACACATGCTGTTAACGTTCATAAATGAAATAGCAAACACGTTAACACCCCAACACGCTTTTAATTAATTGATTTCGTTAGCCCTCATTACCCACACATTCTTTTTCTAATTATTCGTTAGAAACGAAGTCTCCTATATACAGAATGGAAAAAAAATTAGGACGTATACACAAGGTTACAAAGGGATTGCGAAACGTAATGAAATAAATGTTCTTTTTAGGCGTATCTGAATTTACACCAAGCTGTCGGTATATGAAATTGAATACCATTCATTTATCATGCTTTCAATAACAAAAAGTCAAATTGCCGAAATACCCGACTCATTGAAAACTATTATCCTACATTACGAACACTTCTTTAATATCTGTGAAGTTTGCCAGTACAATACAATACATTACACAAAAATACTCACATGTTCCATGTAGTGTGCAATGAAGTAAAAAACACAGACATAACCAAACTTGTACCTCCATTTCCGTCAACACCAGGATTTTCACAAACAGTATTTCATTGCAGTGTTACCGTGAATCTTTTGGTTTTATATCAATAAAATAATGTGTATATGTAAGCGTCATTTTTTTGCATGTGTAATTTTTCCGGAATATCAATTATCACTTGTTTCAGATCCTTTTTTGTAAAATTAGAATGGTAAGTCAGGGCAAGATAACTATCTAAGATACGTGGGATAAAGATAATTCATAAAGAAGTCGCTTTGTGTATTTGTTGTATCCCAAAATTATAAACCCGGTGTTAGTTGATGTTTTCATACTAAAAGAAAATTGGAATTACACCATTAGAATCAGGAGTATGACATAGGACCGAACAAGCCACTACCGAAATACCACCATTTATAATAATTAAAGTGCATTGGTTTGGTCATCTCTATATTAAACACAGACTGTAGAAGAGTTGACATTCAAACATGTTAGAAAATTTAAATTGTAACTGCCATTTGGGCTGTATATACACAATAAGTAAATATTGTGTTTTTCTTTTAAATTGCCAGTATTGACTTTTATTTCATTTTGGTGGGTTTTGTTGGTGTATGTTTGCCTTTAGAGAAACATGGTTTTAAATACGTTATCTTACGATATAGGTCACGGTTAAACTGTATTCTGGTGGTGCATATTTTTTTTTCACTCTTTTCACGTGTTGTCTCATTCATGTGTCATTCTGATTTTGTTATATAAGACATTAAAACTAAATTTTTGCTTTTACTGAATGTATTGGGGAAACAGACAATTGAATAGACCCTCACAAATCCAGTAACACCATACTTCTATACTTATGTTGTTGACAATCGTGGACTTTTTTCTTGTTTGGTTTACCTCCACATGGTGTAGATTTTAGGAAAAAAAAACACTCCACTTAAACCAAACCTGTATATAACAATCTGCATTGGTGCAGTCTATTGTTGTAAAGGAGTAAAATCCATTATGATGTATTAAACGCATCAATTATTCTAATTCTGAAAAAAACACTATGTGTATCTCTACAGTGTATTTTCATTATATCTACACAGAACACAAGATCATACTAGTCTTGTAGATTTGATGAGAGAAGTATACCGCTGTTCAATAGTCGATTATGCGAAAATAAATCCGAGTCGCAAACCAAAATCAAGGGAAACCAATTAACTATGAAAGGAAAACAATCACTATCGCCAAAAAAAAACGCAGACTGTGTTCGTGTCTACAACGAAGTCCTTACCCTGAGTCAACAAAAGGTAAACAATGTCACAAACAATAGCCACGATGATAATGAGTTCAAATATGCACGTACACATGAGGGAAAATCAACACAAAACGTCATTTTTAAATGGGTCTGTTAATACCCATGCTACGTCAATCTTTAATTACCCAAATGTTGCTAAAGATTTGTCGTACCTCCAAGACAAATATGTTTTTGTCTCCGCAAACAGCATCGTTTTATTTGTGTAAATCACATTACATAAACTGCTTGATATATGAACTAGGTATTGATAATTCACTTAGAAACTAAACATATACCTTAACGACACTCTCTAAATAGGAAATCCTTGATAATCATAGGTATGTTCTATGTTCCTTTGGAATTTCGACCAAAGATGTAGAGCTGGATAACTCATAACTGTAATGGGTACATTAACTACATTATTGTCCTTACAAACAACGGTATATTGCTGGAACTTCCAAGTGCTCAACGAAACCTCTTTTTTCTAAATTATTAACATCAATTTTATAAGTAATCAAAGCTGGGTTTCTAAGTTATTGTGAAACTACCTATTCTAGAGGAGGTGTGAATCAGATGTTGATATTAAAAAATTCCAAAGAGTACATAATGTCTAAGACTCTTCTATCTTGTAGTAGTATTTAACATTTGGCACTTCTACACTTTACACCAGTATTCCACATTTCAAATTAGAAGACAAATTGGAAGAGTTGGGCATGCTATGTTTCATAGAAAAGAATGGCCAACGTACAGACAAGTGTCTTGTCATAGGCAGGGATAAATCATACTTTGTAAAATAATCACTCCGATTCTCGCGAATAATTGTCTGAAATCGACAATATCACGATATTTGATTTCTTGATTGACAACATATTTGTTACGTTTGAAGGACGTGTTTTTCAACTAATAATAGGCATTTCCATGGGAACCAACTGTGCCAGTAAGCAGTATCCTCTATTTTTACTTACCGCTAAATAGATGATGTTCTCACACAAAATTTGGTGACTTCGTCGAACGCATCTTACCAATCGAACTTGAGATATAGGATACAATAGATACAGTTAAGTATGCCTCATATCTTGACTTAAATCTAGAAATTGACAATGTGGGTCGATCAAAAGCAAAACTTTACGACAAAAGAGATGATTTCAGCTTCTAGTTTGTGAACATTTCATTCTAATGTAGCAACATTCCTGCAGCGACTGCATACGGAGTATATAATTCTAAGTTTACGCTATTCCAGGGTTTGTATTTCCTATCATGATTTCCTCGATAGAGGGTTGCTGCTCACAAGAAAGCCATTAAACAAAGAGTTCCAAGTGGTGAAGTTGAAATCATCCCTTCGTAAATTTTATGAATGCCATCACTAGTTGGTTGACTGTTAAATAAAATCTGTTTCACAGATGATAGCGGATATGTTCCAAACGCCGTAGCTATAATCTCGTCCTCGTACCGAATAAGATTTATTACCGGGTGTATACCCTCATTAGCAACACGATAGGTGTCACTTATGGAGCATGATCTGCTTATCCTTCCGAAGCACAGTTGTTGTTGTTTTTTTAGGGTTTTGATTCAAATAACTTTCAGAAAGATATTATGACTATAAACAGCAAACTAGATAGACATATTACAATTACAATCTACAATCTGCAATGCAAGGTCATTAATTGAACTGTTAAACTTGCTAATGTATTGATAATTTTTCCCGGAAAAAAAAATGCTTGTGAGTTCAATGTCAACATGCTGTTGTACTCTGTGGACATGAACAGTCATTTAACATTTAAATGTGTAGAGCACCCGAGGTAAAGTTAACGATTAGGACGTTAAAGAAAATGACCATTCGTCATCACGAGCCGACTATTCGAAACATGTTGTGTCATTTCACGAATTAGATCAGTTAACGAACACATGGACAATTTCAAATAAGGATAGGGTCAACTTTAAAATACCAGTACTTGTAGGGAAATACTGAAGAAATAAAACATTGTAAAACTATAAAATGAGGATATAAACCCCACGATAACTCTTAACATTTTAGCATTGAATGCCATGTATATTATAGTTTCCGACTTTATTTCTTGTACTGCCTTGCAATAATAAATGAACATAAACTAAAACTGAATACATTGCATTATATTAAAAGTAAAAGATAAAGAATTTTGACAGAACTTTCAGCTTGGCACAAGAACATAATATTCAGACGATCAAGATAAATTGTGTGCGCCTTTCGTTAGACTTATACGGGAGTTGCAAAAAGATGACATTCAACAATGGATTAAATGATTCATAAGAATATTATACTTGTAACATTCAAAAATACAGTTATCAGCTAAAAAGAAAGATTGCAATATAATTCCTACATCTGATACCTTGATGTTTGATCGACAGATAAAGAAAGAAAGAGAGAAAACCAATGATGTTCAATTCCATGAACACAAGAGAAGCTGTATGACCAATAGATAAAACGCCCTGTATAAATGATTGAATTATGTACGTTCAAAAATATTTGATGTTTTTATTACTGCGAAATATAACTAAAGGTTTGGTATGATAAAAAGTCGTATTTGTCATTTCAATACTGATTTTCCTCATTCTTTTTTTGTTAAAATAACATTAATTAAATTTCGCATGTGTGTCAAGATTCACCATATTAGGCAAGCCTAAATTTCTATATTTACAGTTATAGATTACTTACAAAAAGATAACCAAAGATGCGTAAATATTTCAATATTGGAGAAGCTGTTTGACCAACAGAGATATAAAATGAATAGCGAAATCAACTTAACATTTGTCTGATGTTTTTAGAGCCTCACTATTTTAATATTATTTAATCTATCAACCAAGTTTTAAAACACAAATGCTTACAGAGTTAATGAAACATGCTTATTGTCCTTCAGATTTGTCTTTTCTGACGCGTTATGGTCAGTAAGATTTTTTCTTAACATTTTGAAGAACCTTTGGGATATGTGAATTCAAAAATAAAAATGTAGTTCGTATTGTTTATTTTTGAATATATGTATTATACATTGTATTTTTTTAAGATTTTTATGTTTGGACAATACGCATCTGCATCATTCTTAACCTCAATACAGAATTTCAATTCACTAATATGGCGTTCGTAGAAAGGCAGGAATAAATTTACTCGAAATTACGACAATTTTTATTTCAAAAACCGTTTGTTATATTGTATTATTGTATTTTTATATTGTATTTATAGTGCTGTTGAATTATACTTGGACTTGAAACTGTATTTTATGAGCATTTCATTGATGCTCAGTTTATGACATACGCAATATTTCAAATAAATGGACACAAGATAAAAATTCTTCTTTGTAAAGGCTATAACGTGAAATAGTTTTGATACAATCAAACAATGTTAAATATGTTTCAACAACATCAGTCATTATATTTTCTATTGAATACATTGCAATATGACTTTGTTCGGTTTGCATTATCTGTTTGTTTTATTTTTAAAAACAAGGTTGAAAGGAGATATCCAGTGCACTTCATTTTAACAGGAAGTTTTTACTTTTTTCTCCGTGGTATACCATATTTGGATACACTAAAGCTACTGATCAACATATATTGTGACACGACATATTTCCGTCTTTGTTAAATTTGTCTTAAAACAATGACTTTAAAGTGAACTATATATACAATGAGATAAAGCCACTCCTATTTAAAAGGGTAAATTAATGTCTGTTTTTAGTAGAAATGAATCATTTTTTAATTCTGAAGCGGTTTCTAGTGTACGATGTTTTTAACGGACAATTATTTGCATATAATTCAGCTTTAAATGATATCTTACTGCTTTTTATAATATTCGAATGTTCGGTAAATTGACTTTGTGATTAT